GAGACGGTGTGTGTCAGTATATATACACTGAGAAGTGTTGTGTAGTGTCATATTATCCACTGACGGGTGTGTGTGTGTGTGTCAGTATATATACACTGAGGTGTCTGTGTGTGTGTGTCAGTATATATACACTGAGGTGTGTGTGTGTGTGTCAGTATATATACACTGAGGTGTGTGTGTGTGTGTCAGTATATATACACTGAGAGGTGTGTGTGTGTCAGTGTTTATACACTCGAGAGGTGTGTGTGTCAGGGTAATTACACTGAGAGGTGTGTGTTTGTGTCAGCGTATATACACTGACAGGTGTGTGTATGTGTCAGTGTATATACAGACAGGTGTGTGTGTCTGTGTCAGTATATATACACTGAGAGGTGTGTGTGAGTGTGTTGTGTGTCAGTGTATATACATTTGGGAGGTGTGTGTGTGTGTGTGTGTGTGTGTGTGTAGTGTTATATACATTGGGAGGTTGTGTGTGTGCGTGTTCAGTTTATATACACTGAGGTGTGCGTGTGTGTACAGTATATATACACTGAGAGGGTGTGTGTTGTGTCCAGTATATATACACTAAGAGGTGTGTGTGTGTGTGTCCAGTGTATATACACTGAGAGGTGTTTTGTGTGTCAGTTATATACACTGTGAGGTGTGGTGTGTGTGGGTCCAATGTATTATACGAGAGGTGTGTGTGCCGTAAGTGTATATACACTGACAGGGCGTGTGTGTGTGTGTCCAGCCTATATGCTACACTTAAGGTGTGTGTTGTGTGTCAGTGTATATACACTGAGAGTGTGTATGTGTCAGTGTATAACACTGAGAGGTGTGTGTGTGTGTGTATCAGTGTATTTTCACTGAGTTGTGTGTGTCGTGACAGTGTATATAACATGAGGGCGTCTGTGTGTGTTTGTCAGTGTATATACACTGAGGAGGTGTGGTCGTGTTTACACACTGAGAGGTGGTGTGTGTGTCAGTGCTATATACATGAGAGGTGGGTGTGTGTCATTGTAGATACACTGAGAGGTTTGTGTGTGTCGTTGTATATACAGAGGAGGTGTGTGTGTGTGTGTGTGTCAGTGTATATACACTGAGAGGTGTATGTGTGTCAGTGTATATATACTGAGAGGTGTGTGTGTCAGTGTATATGCACTGAGAGGTGTAATAGGTTGTCTGTGTATATACACTGAGAGTGTGTATGTGTGTTAGTGTATATACACTGAGAGGTGTATGTGTGTCAGTGTATATACACTGAGAGGTGTATGTGTGTCAGTGTATATGTAGACAGCCTGTACTGTCAGAACACACAGCCTAACCGTCTGTTCTGTCTAGTTAATATTTTGTCGGCATTTAAGTGCTGCTTGCCCTCTGTAGGCTCACCCAGGTTCAGAGTGGGAAGGCTGAGCCCATTTGCTCTCACTCCTAGGTCGACCGACTTGATAGGCGCAAGCACTCCCCTCCACGGACTGGCTTGCGGTCATTCCCTCACACTGCCCGTTGTGTACTCACTCCTATCCATTAAAAGGCAAACTAGTCCACGGCCGTATCATTGCTACCTACGCTACCTTCATCGGCACTAAACCGCTGTTCAGCAGGCAAGAAACAGCAATAATATATATACACTGAGCGGTGTGTGTGTCAGTGTATATACACCTGAGGGAGTGATATGTGTTGTCAGTGAATATGCACTGAGAGGTGTGTGTGGTCAGGTGTATTTAATACACTGAGAGGTGTGTATGTCAGTGTATATACACTGAGAGGTGTATGTGTTGTCGTGTATATACACTGAGAGGTGGTCTGTGTCAGTGTATATTACACTGAGGTGTGTGTGTGTGTCAGTGTATATACACTGAGGGTGTGTGTGTGTCAGTGTATATACACTGAGAGGGTGTATGTGGTCATTGTATATACACTGAGAGGGGTTGTGTGTGTCAGTGTATATTACATTGAGGTGTGTGTGATGTGTGTGTGTGTGTGTGTGTGTGGTGTGTGTGTGTCAGTGTATATACACGAGGGTGTGTTGTGTGTGTGTGTAGTGTATTATACACTGAGAGGTGGTGTGTCAGTTGCATATACACTGAGATGGGTGCGTGTGTGTGTCAGAGTATATACACCGGAGAATTCACTTTAATCCCATATTATAGGCTTGATAGTAAACAAGGTGGACGTTACAGTTAGAGGAAAAAAAAACACGAGTGTGATATGACAACAACGTACAAAAATACTGCGATCTATGAGAGGCGGAAACACAGGTACAGGGGGTATGCTGGGAAGTTGAAAACATAGATAACATGCAGGGATGTTAGGAAGTGTTTATTCAGCTTAGAGTGGTCAGGAGAATGGAGTGGTTAGAGGAGGATCCATACATATGCTTTAGAAGACGTGCGACAGAGCTTGATCAAGGGTTTGGATTTTCTCCATGTCCTTGGATGAGATACCTTCAGTATAATCATTTGAGGATTCCCCTTAGAACAGTGGGTTCCCAAAACTTTTTCAGCTTGTTACCCATTTACATGCCACATTAAAGCATGTTACCCCTTTTCACAAATGTGTTATTTATTGATTATATATGGCTAAACGTGAACGTATACAGCCTCGCATACTCTGCTAATCTTAGCAAAAAAACCATTTTGAAAACGTAAGAAGAACCACACATACATTATATATAAAACCCCAATAATAGCTACAAATTCAGAGTAACAGGGGGTAAATACTAACTATATAGTGCACAGGGCAGTACACATACATAACCAGTTTAAATTCTACCTGGGCTGATGCTCACAGATAAACTGACATGTGAAATAGAGGCAGCCTCAGGAAGTGAGTGCGCGTACTGGCAGGTCACTGGGCTACTGAGTGCTTTTGTCCTGAAGCATACTTGTCAAAATACTTTTGGGTTTCCACACATTAGCTATATATTCTTCTTTTCTAATACTGAAATATTAGTTTTTGATTTTTTATTGTTATTTGGTTAAACTTTATTACTTACTTATTAAAGGTTTACTTTACAACTTTATATACTAAGACAAAAGTTAACAATAATCCTCATACCGGGTACAGCTTTGTTTTCTTGATTTTCAGAATTCATAACTTTTTTCTGTCACCCCTCCATTACCCCCCAAAAAGGGTTTAAAATTTTCCCCCCAGGGGGTAATTTACCCCCAGTTTGGGACCATTTGCCTTAGAAGGTAATCACGGGAGACTTTAATTACCAAAAACGATAGATGGAATTATCTATCAGGAGAATGAAGATAGTAATGGAACCATTAATGTGATCAGCTGATTGCTCTCATCACCTGGCAAGAGTACCGGGGACCTGGCCCCTGTACCTGGACCTGTACCTGGACCTGGACCTGTCCCTGTACCTGGACCTGGACCTTAACCTGTACCTGGACCTGGACCTGTACCTGGCCCCTGTACCTGGACCTGTACCTGTACCTGGACCTGTACCTGGACCTGTACCGGGACCTGCACCAGTCCCTGGACCTGTACCTGTACCTGCACCCTGGACCTGTACTGGACCTGTACCTGGACCTGTACCTGGACCTGTACCTGTACCTGGACCTGGACCTGTACCTGGACCTGTACCTGGACCTGTACCTGGCCCTTTGTACCTGGACCTGGCCTGTACCTGGACCTGGACCTGGACCCTGTATCTGGACCGTACCGGGAAACATGTACCGGCCCTGTCCCTGGACCTGTATCTGGACCTGTACCTGGACATGTGCCTGGACCTGAACCTGTACCTGGCCCTTTGTACCTAGACCTGTACCTGGCCCTGAACCGGGATCTAAAACCTGGACCTGTATTTGGACCTGTACCGGGAAACCTGGACCTAAACCCTGGACCTGTACCTGGATCTGTACCTGGACCTGTACCTGGACCTGTACCTGAACCTGGACCTGTACCTGGACCTGTATCTGGATCTGGACCTGTACCTGGGCCTGTACCTGGACCTGTACCTGGACCTGGACCTGGACCTGTTCCTGGACCTGTACCTGGACCTGTACCTGGACCTGTACCTGTACCTGGACCTGTCCCTGAACCTGGACCTGGACCTGGACCTGGACCTCTACCTGGACCTGTACCTGTATCTGGACCTGTACTTGAACCTGTACCTGGACCTGTATCTGTACCTGGACCTGTACTTGAACCTGTAGCTGGACCTGAACCTGTACCTGTACCTGGACCTGGACCTGTACCTGAACCTGGACCTGAACCTGTACCTGTACCTGTACCTGTACCTGGATCTGTACCTGGACCTGAACCTGAACCTGTACCTGGACCTGGACCAGGACCTGAACCTGTACCTGTACCTGTACCTGGACCTGGACCTGAACCTGCACCTGTACCTGTACCTGTACCTGGACCTGAACCTGTACCTGGACCTGTACCTGGACCTGGACCTGGACCTGTACCTGTACCTGTACCTGGACCTGGACCTGAACCTGTACCTGGACCTGGACCTGAACCTGTACCTGTACCTGGACTTGAGCCTGAACCTGTACCTGTACCTGTACCTGGACCTGTACCTGGACCTGGTCCTGAACCTGTACCTGTACCTGGACCTGAACCTGTACCTGGACCTGTACCTGGACCTGGACCTGTACCTGAACCTGTACCTGTACCTGGACCTGGACCTGTACCTGGACCTGGACCTGTACCTGGACCTGGACCTGTACCTGTACCTGAACCTGGACCTGGACCTGAACCTGTACCTGTACCTGTACCTGGACCTGAACATGTACTTGTACCTGTACCTGAACCTGTACCTGGACCTGTACCTGGACCTGGATCTGTACCTGGACCTGTACCTGGACCTGGACCTGGACCTGAACCTGTACCTGGACCTGGACCTGAACCTGTACCTGTACCTGAACCTGAACCTGAACCTGTACCTGTACCTGTACCTGGACCTGTACCTGTACCTGTACCTGGACCTGAACCTGAACCTGAACGTGTACCTGTACCTTGACCTGGACCCGAACCTGAACCTGAACCTGAAACTGTACCTGGACCTGGACCTGGACCTGTACCTGGACCTGGACCTGTACCTGGACCTGAACCTGTACCTGTACCTGGACCTGGACCTGTACCTGGACCTGAACCTGTACCTGTACCTGTACCTGTACCTGGACCTTTACCTGTACCTGTACCTGGACCTGGACCTGTACCTGGACCTGAACCTGTACCTGTACCTGTACCTGTACCTGGACCTGTACCTGTACCTGTACCTGGACCTGGACCTGTACCTGGACCTGGACCTGTACCTGTACCTGGACCTGGACCTGTGCCTGTACCTGGACCTGTACCTGAACCTGTACCTGTACCTGTACCTGGACCTGGACCTGTACCTGGACCTGTACCTGGCCCTGACCTGAAACCTGTACCTATACCTGTACTGGACCTGCACCTGTACCTGTACCTGAACCTGTACCTGTACCTGTACCGGGTTACCTTTGGACCTGTACCTGTACCGGGAAACTGTACCTGGACCTGTACCTGGACCTGTACCTGTACCTGGACCTGGACCTGGACCTGTACCTGGACCTGGACCTGGACCTGGACCTGTACCTGGACCTGGACCTGAACCTGTACCTGTACCTGGACTTGGACCTGTACCTGTACCTGTACCTTGACCTGGACCTGTACCTGTACCTGGACCTGGACCTGTACCTGTACCTGTACCTGGACCTGTACCTGGACCTGTACCTGGACCTGTACCTGGACCTGGACCTGTACCTGGACCTGGACCTGGACCTGGACCTGGACCTGGACCTGAACCTGTACCTGGACCTGTACCTGGACCTGGACCTGTACCTGTACCTGGACCTGTACCTGGACCTGTACCTGGACCTGTACCTGTACCTGGACCTGAACCTGAACCTGAACCTGAACCTGTACCTGTACCTTGACCTGGACCCGAACCTGAACCTGAACCTGAAACTGTACCTGGACCTGGACCTGGACCTGTACCTGGACCTGGACCTGTACCTGGACCTGAACCTGTACCTGTACCTGGACC